TTCAAGAAAGGTAGAAACGGAGCTGAAAAAAAATTTGTGCCATGTATGGAGAAGGTGCTGTGACTGACTGCACATGTCAGAAGTGGTTTGTGAAATTTCTTGGCACTATTCACATTTGGGCCAAATAATTCTTTGCTGTGGGCTGTCTTATTCATTAGAAGGTGTTTAGCAGCACCCGTGGCCTCTATCCACTAGAAGCCCATGGTGGGAGACAGCCGGCATACTCCAAATATCCAAATCAATATAGTTATTGGTGAAAATGAAGTGTGTCTTTTATTTTGTGGAAAAAAACCATATACTTTTTGGCCAACTCAATAGTTAGCCTGAACAGTGACACCTAGCAATCCCTGAATGTGAGTTTTAATGGCAGTTGAATATTCTGTAAAGCCGCATTGATCACTGGAGCCTTGTGGAGTTAATTGAAGTCTGCATCAGATAGATAATTAATCCAATTATTTTTGGAATGTTTACTAGAAAATATGTTATTATGTACTTTACCTCTGGGTTTGCTGTTAACAAATTGTTGCTGGTTGATGGGAGCAAAGTGCATGTTAGCGGGATCTCTGCATCCATCCTCCCACTGACAGTTGCAGCGCGGATTAGGCGCTTTGTGCTTCAGCGCAGTTTCCTGTTGGCCAGCCTTCCCATATTTGCCTTGCCCTGTTTCCCTGTCTTTCCCTAGCACTCAACACCATCTTACATACAAAACATTTTTTATTTTGAGTGTTTCCTTTTAGGCAGATTTTAAGTTCTGTGAGGTCACAGATTTTGGTGGTTGTATATTGCTAAGTCTGCAGTTTCTGTAATAGTGCCTACCATGTGCTAGATATTCAGTCATATTGATTGAATGACTGAATGTATATTAACCCCTCTCTCTACTCAGTGCTACATCCTGATGCTCTTTCTTGTGTTACATGCTTGCTGTTGTCTCCCGGATGGGGCATTTCTAACCTTATATTTTTAAAGCATTCTAATTATCTGTACATTTTTTTCCTTCTATTTAACATTCCTGTAAAGCATTTTAACTTTTTCAAATATATTTCTGTTCTGTTTATTATTTTAAAAAGTGGTCACTTAAAAAATGGATGTCTTTATGTAATGGTTGTTGTGTAACTTTTTAAAAAAACTTTATTTTTGAATAATTTTAGTTTCTGTAATCGTGGTCCATTTATCAAAATTAAGCAATCAATATTAGTGTGTTACTGTTAACTAAACTAGAGATTTCATTTGGGTTTTACCAGTTTTTTTCTTTTCTGTTCCAGGATCCAGTCCAAGACTCCATATTGCATTTCATTGTTTCCCTAGTCTCTTCCTATCTATGACAGTTTGTGTCTCTCCTTGTTTCGACCTTGATAATTTTGAGCAGTATTGGTCAGATGTTTTGTAGAAATGCCCTTCAGTTTGGGTTGAGCTGGTGGCTTTAGTGCGATTAGACTGAGGTTGTGGGTTATGAGGTTTATCGGTGGCACATGACAGTAACAGTACTTACCACTGACGCTTTAACCATGATCACTCGACCACAGTGGGGTCCTTTGGGTTTCTCCACTGTGACATTGTTTACTGTCCCCTTTCCAGACTCCGCTTTGGAAATGGCTCACTGAGTCTAGTCTGACCTCATCGGGCAGGGAGTAGAGTGCTACCTGCCAGGTCAGGGGGTGTCCACGTACCCTATGTTGTTGGAGTTCTCTGTAAGGAAGATTTGTCTCTTCTCCATTTACTTAGTTATTTAATCATGTATTACATCACAGACTCATGGATACTTAATTTTATTAAATCAGTTTTAATTTGATACCATTGTGACTTATTTGCTGTTCAAATAATTCCAGCTTTAACCATGGGGGGTTTCCTCACTCAGTAAGTGCTTCTTGTCTGTGACGTGTCCTCTTCTTTTAGTCTTTTGAACAGTTCCTGACTTTCTGCTACCGGCTTTTCTTGTATTTTCCTTGTCCCAGCCCTAGAACCAGCCATTTTTTTAGTGCTCTGCTTTCTTGTACTGGAGAATGGTATTTAGAAAAAAGATACGGGTGCTGGGTGTGCTGCTGTAGCATCACTGCTTCGAGGCTTTCTGTGGACGGAGCTTGGAAATAAATGTGTGTCTGCTAAGCCATGTGTATGCATGTCTGTATTTCTGTACCTGTATGCACATATCTTAAAAATAAATGAATTCAGCCCTGGCTCTTGTGGCTTGGTGGATTGAGCGCCGGCCTGCAAACCAAAGGGTCACCAGTTCAATTCCCAGTCAGGGCATGTGCCTGGGTAGCGGGCCAGGTCCTCAGGAGGGGGCGTGCGAGAGGCAACCGCACATTGATGTTTCTCTCCCTCTCTTTATCCCTCCTTTCCCCACTCTCTAAGAGAATAAATAAATAAAACCTTAAAAAAAAATGAGTTCATACTGATACCTCCGACTCTAGTCCATATCCATCCATTGCTTATTTGTAATTGGAACCCCTGAGAGAAATTTAATAACTAGGGTACAGTGTTTATGCACAGTTCTTTTTAATCTTTTTTAAAAAATTATTTACTTTTAAAGAGAGGGGGAGGGAGTGAGGAAGAGAAACATGTGAGAGATACATCGGATCTGTTGTTGCTCACATGCCCCCTAACTGCACAACCCAGGCATGTGCTCTGACTGGGAATCGAACCAGTGACCTTTAAATTTGAAGGCTGGGGATCAATCCACTGAGCCATACCAGCCGGGGCTCCATCTTTGTTTTTATCTGCATACAGTCTACAGTTTTAAAAAAAATGACTCTTTTCACACTGGATTGTTGTCTTAACTTTTTTATGTGACTGTTGTAATTGCTATCTTATTCTTCTGCTGTTTGTGTAGTTCATAGCCAATATTATGGCACTGTCCTGTGTACCTTACATAAATTTGTTTCTCATAGCACCTCTTTGAGGTAGATACTCCTATGTTAATCTCTTTTTCATGAGGGGAGAGAGGCACAAAGATGTTTAGTAACTTGGCTAAATTCATGAACAGCTGGTATGTGGGAGAACTGGGGTCTGAACCCAGGTAGGCTGGTTTTGGAGTCTGTCTGTGCTCTTGTCTTTTGCTTAAGACTGGATATGATTTAGAATTTAATAGGACTTAGAATTTAATGTCCACTTGCTGTTTAATGTTGAACTGCGTTTGGAATGGAGAGTGCTCTTCCCATGTTCTTTGTCTCGCATTCCTAACAGCCATTGTTAATCATGATGGCGCTCCTCTTTCTCTGAGCTAGAACGTTGCCCGGCCTGGGAACCTTTGTAGCACTCGGGGGACACATGAAATGCGGCCTCCTGTCTTACTGTCCTGAGAGCAGGGTGCAGTGCAGTGGCCCTTGCATCTGCCTTTCGAAGTTCTTGCTCACTCTCAGGCTTAGTTTTTGTGAGGTGTGGGTGGAGGGTCTTTTCCCTTGTGCATTGGACCTACTTCTCCTAAGTAATTAATTTTTATCTCTCATCACAAGTTACATCTCTGTGTCTGTCTAGGTTCTCTTTATCTTTACCTGCAAAATTTGTTTACTATTAATTTACTTTTGAGTTTATTAAAGCAATGGATTTTTACTTAAAAAATAAGTGAAATTGTTAAATGAGACTAACATGTTCTCAAAGAATCTAAAAATAAAAGCACTATTGAAGATTGGTGATTTTTCAAAATAGGCAATTTTATGACAGTCTTGTGAAGTAAAAAGACATTTTAGTCAGAAAAGGACATCGAGCATATTGCAATTGTGTACTTAAATTTTGTTGGGTTTGGATTTGACTTTATTTAGTGTGGTATTCAGTTAGGAGTCACAGTGAATGCTGTTAATATATTTGGGAAGGATAAATAGTACATGTAATTTATTACTTAGTGTTCTTCCGATAAGTAGAAAGAAGACTCCACAAGACTGAATAGGTGGCTAATACCTTGGTTTGGCAAATCCTTTAGGAATGAAGAACCCTTAAAGAAAGGCATCAAGGGCACTGAAAAATGCCCAGGGAACTTAAAAATTCCTCCGTCGTTGGCAACTCGGTAAGGAGGGTTAGGGATGTCGTCTTAGGTGAAGGCCCTCACAGGTGGACCGGCTGGGCCTGACAGAGAAGGGGGCTGATTCTTGTGGCCTCATCACCCGCGAGGTGGCTGGATGTGTCTTGGCCACATCACTGGGGTTGTAGGCACTTGGAGGGCGGAGAAAGCTCCTCGCCTGGCGGGAAGCAGAGCCCCCCGGGTGTGTAGCTGCGGCCCTTCCTGATGCTGTTGAGGATGAGAGCCCGCCTCTGTCGTTTCAGGCCTTAGTGTACCTATAATCTCAGTACTAAGAATCTATCTCAGTCCCCCTCTGTATTTCATGTGGCAGAGCACCTCATCCAAACTGGTTTCAGCAAAAAAAAGGGAATTACTTGGCTTGCATGACTGAATAGTTCTGGAGTCGGTTTAGCAAAGCATCCCTCCTTCGGGGCTCAGAGGTGGGATGAGAGTCCATTTCTTGGTGTTGGGCGTTTTCTTTCTCTGTTGTTGACTTTGTCTTTGCCGGCTTTTCTCTTGTGGTTGCAAGTTGGCTTCCAGCCATCCTCAGGGCAACATGTTTCCAGGTTTACATCTAAGTGGAAAAGTGAGCATTCTTGCCTTCACGTTCCAGGGACCCTCCTGAGATTCTCACTGTGGCTGGATCGCTTCCGGTCATGTGTGCAGCACGGTCCTGGTGACTCTGCAGGGAGCGGCGGGCCTTGGCCAGGCCAGCTCCCTGGGCTTCTTCCTGTGGCAGTGGCGGTCCTCAGAGAGGGGGTGGTGGGAAGTTCCCAGAGGGTGGCAGAACCACCCCCGCGTCCGTTCTAGTGGGACAGAGCTCGGTTACAAGGGTGTGGTGTTCAGGGTATTTGATTTGGTTTGATAAAATAGACTCTAGACTACATAATTTTTTTCCTTTTTTCTTTTTCTTTTCTTCTTCTTTTTTTTTTAAAGAGCCACTGAGCCACGCCAGCCAGGGCTCTTTTTCTAATTTAAGTTAAAAAAAGTTTTTTATTGATTCCAGAGAGAGAGGAAGAGAGAGAGAGAAACATTGATGTGAGAGAAACATTGGTTGGTTGCCTCCTGCACACGCCCCAACCGGGGACTGAACCTGCAACCTAGGTATGTGCTCTGACTGGAGATTGAACCCGCAACCTAGGTATGTATGTGTCTCTACTGGGAATTGAATCCAAGACCTTTCAGTGCATGGGATGATGCTCCAACCAACTGAGCTGCACAGGTCGGGCTATATAATTTTTTTTAATTTTATTTATTTTATAATTAATTCTACAAGGTTTTAAATGGTTCCCTGCTATAATCTGGTTTGCCCTTTGAAATAAAGCATAACCATTGTTTTGGTTTTACTGTACGGTATATAGGTAGAATCGTATTTCAGTGACTGGAGCTATACCATAATGTTTTGAATAAGAGAAGATGTTTTCATGTCCTAGATAAAAATCATACTAGTGCTATTTATTTCACTTATGAAACAAAACAAATGTTGTGATTGATAAGTTTGAAAATTGGGTATATTCACAAATTCCCGTCCACTTAGTGGTAAGTCATTTTAATAAAGGTTTCTTTTTGCTAATACATGAATATTTGAAGCTATACTTAAATAGTTGGCTGTGGTGTAGTGGAAAACAGTCAGAAACCCAGTTGGGGTCTGAGGGGCGTGCGTTGGAAGACTTCCTGCGTAATAGGCGCAGCGCTGGGTGAGTCTGGCGCGACCAGCTTGGAGACAGGTGGCGCCGTCCCTTTGTGATTGGGGCTGTCTTAAGGCACTGTCAGCTTTCTCAATAGAAAGAAATTCAAGAAACTCCCGATTCTCGCTCAGGACTCTTGACTGGTAGGGCAGCTGGGTCACGGGCTTCTGTTGCCCCTGCGACGCATCTCTCAGGGGGCTTGGGGCACAGCTGATGATTTTCCATGCTCAGGCGTGGTAGCCACCCTTCCTTCTCCGGCCTGGGGCACAGGTGTGCTTTAGGAGCTCCTCAAGATGGGGGCACACTAACAAATCTATTTTTTTATTTGTTTTAAAATCTGCTCTCTGCCAAGTACACAACCAGGCCCCGGGATTTCATAAATGAATAAAAATGAATCTTGCTGCTGAAGAATTAAGTGGGGGTGAAGTGGAGTGAAAAACGTGAAAATGTGATTTTAATATTATAAATGCTGTGATAGAGAGAGTTTGTTTTATGGACAGTATCCTTCTAAATGGTGCCTCTTGTTTTCTTCTTTACAGAAGATGGTCTCCCTGTTTATTACTGTACTTCCAAAGAACAGTCTGGACACTTTTATATTTATTTCTTAAATCAGATTTTTGATAATCTCCCCTAGATGAATTACCCTAATTTTCTTCATTTCCTCTCAGTTGTGCAGTTATTTAGAGGCTCATCCTATAGACTAAAACCTCCACTCATGTACGTTGTTTAGATGAGCTATGTGAAATCTGTAAATGTGGAAATTTATCCATATTTGTCCTCTTTCAAGAGAGGTTGGTTCCAGATTCAGTTTTGAAATGTTCTGTTGTCTCACCACTTGTTTAGTTGGCTAAACTTGGTCAGAAAGCCTTTTGTTGTGACACACTTTATTGTAACTAAGGTAGAAGCAACATGAAGGTGTTCCAGAATGTTAGACAAGGAGGGTTGTAGTACAGAAACGTAATGCTAATTAACGATACCTCTTTACCAAGACATAGCACGTGTGCGCGTTAAAAAAGCATTGTAGCAGCACCCACACTGTGCATTGGGGGAAACTAAATGCCCTGGCCCTCCTGTAGGGTTTGTCAGGGGTGTTGCCTCTAAGACCAAGAATTTGTCAAGGCAGCAGATCCGATCGTTGTGAAATCATTTTTGAGCTCATGAAGCAACAGATAATCACTTTTTATCAGACTCCTTTTCTTTCTAGTTTCTAGGCCTTTGATGTGCTAAATGTCTAAAATAATTTGCATAGTATTACTTGAGCTTCTTTGTTAACTAGCAGATTTGAATGCAAACAGTTGCCACAAAGTTATATCTTAAAGGAAGCTCCAATTTTTTCTTAACTTCAGTGTCTTTTTGCCCTCTTCACTGTCTTTCTAGCTTTCTTCTTCCCTCCTAACTTCCTGCATTGCTTCAAGGAGGGGCATCTAGGTGAGTTCAGCCTTCTCTGTTGTAAGGACAGTTACCTTTGTTCCACTTCAGTAACCCAGAGGCAAGGCTGCATTTTTAACCTTTCACAAGGAATACTCCTATCTCTGACCTCATTTAACTGTTTTTACCTCAGATTCTGAAATCTCTTCATTCTTCTCATTTGTTCAGTCCTTGGAGTTTTGAGCCTCAACCACCCTAAACATCCGCCTCTGTCAGAGGGGTCTGCAGGCTCCTCTCTGCCCAGACAGCCCTGTCTCCAGGGGTGTCTGCTCACGCCTTGGCGTTTCTTTCATTCCTTCTTGGACTTTGAACCCCATCTTAACTGTCAGGTTGTGTCCTTGCCTTCCCTGCCACCCCTCTGCAGTCTAGTCTGTCCAGTCCCCCCCCCCCCCCCCGCCATATTAATCTTATATTGGAATTTTTTTTTTTTTTTTTGGCCTTCTTAGGTAGGCTGTCAGCTCCTTAAGGGCAAGTTCTGTGTTTCACTCATCTTTGTGTATTCATTGCCGGGACCTTATTACGTGCTTTCTTCGCCCCTCTTTCAGCTCTGAATAACCCCGCATTTGCACTCCGTGTTGCGGTTTGGTGGTTGAGCGTTTTTACTGAGAGCTGCCCAGACCCTGGCTCTTTCTCTAGATCTGGACTTCTTGGGCCGTTTTCTCTCGGCCTGAGGGGATTATGGAAGCAGGTAGGTAAATGAAACCTTACTCAGTTATTCAGGCCAGGAAGTCATCTTCCCCCACATTGAAATCATCACCTGGTTGTCTCCTGAGTAGCCCTCGAGTTCCTTTCCTGCCCTGCTAGCAGCGTGGTGGCAGCTGCTGTCCCCTCTTGCCTGGAGACTGTGTTGCAGTCTGGTCCGCCTCGGCCTCACCTTTGCCTCTGTCTCCCCACCTCCCCTCTTGCTTTGCAGTCACCTGGCCTTCCAAGGTGGAAACCTCCTCTCCCCTGTTACTTAAAGCCCAGTGGCTTTCCACTGCTTTTAGAGAAATGAAAGCCAAACTCCTGAACATGGCACCTTTGCACTGCCAGAGAAGTGTTCTAATCTTTTGAAGATACAGGTATGGTTTCATAGTTTGAGAAGACAATGTTCTAGAAGAGGACTTACTTAGACTCAAAGTGGGAACTCTAGTATGAATGAGGTACCTTGTGAACTGTAGGTTGTCCTCAGAGTTGAACACAGTTAGTTCCCAGAGCCTGAAACTGAAGATAAGGCAGAGGGTTTACTGTGCGTTTGCCGCATTCCTTTCTCCTCTTGCTGGCAGAGGGACCCCTCATGTCAGTAGATGTAGCTCAAGAGGCAGGAACCCATTTTACCAGTGTTTAAGGTGAGAACTGTGGTTTAAAAGTGTATAGGAGGAACACTTTAATTTGTACATTGGTTGTGTATTGTACTCTTTCTACTTTTAGTGCTGCATGTAAATTTTACTTTTTTGGACTTGTCACTTTTATATTACTCAATTTTGCCTGTAATGTAACGATGAAAACTTAGGGTCATTCTACATTTTTTCGCTCCACAGTGTGGATGTCATAGATTAAAAACTAGCTTGTTATAAGGTATACTTAATTCCTGTAATGGGATCATATTTCTGTAAGATGGCTGATCTGTAGGGGTGGGGAATCTGTGTAAATAAAAATATATTTTAGAAGTTGTGATGAGTAAAACTTTATAGTACTTTGAATGAAATGTTTTATGGATTTAACCATTCAGATCAAAGGAGCACCCTTCTGCAAATGTCTACACTACAACTATGTATTATTTCTTTTGCTGCTTGTTAGTTTGCTGGGGATTAACACACAAGGGATCATATTCTGGATGGTTAGATTAGTGATTTTAATATGAAACCATTGCTTTTAGAATAATCATGGGCCAGACTGGGAAGAAGTCTGAGAAGGGACCAGTTTGTTGGCGGAAGCGCGTGAAATCAGAGTACATGAGGCTGCGGCAGCTCAAGAGGTTCAGGCGAGCCGACGAAGTGAAGGTATCGCTTACTTTGTCTTTTGTGAAAAGGTACATACAATTGAAGATAGCTTTTTTCCTCCCTAAAGATATGTTTTAATTTGAAATGGTACATTTTCAGCCAAGGCTATATTTACATTACGATAAATGAAGACTTGGAAGCTCAAGTTGTTATCTGTCTTAACATAAAATGGTACCATGCACAGCAGTGATATGGGAAAGATTTTCAGCCTGCTTGGAATTCACTGCCTTTTTGTATACCTTTGCATTGCATCTGTAGACTCGGGCCCACATAGACAGGGCTGTGCATGGTTTCATGTTTCGAAAGTCATTGTCAGTTTTTTAAAATACGGAGTTAACAAAGGATGGAAATAATTCCCTGTTCCCCTCCCATTTACAATAAAATAACAGGTGTGGTGTTTTTGTATTATTTAAATGTGGGAAACGACAGTTTATTTAAAAATCTTCATGCGTTAGAGGGAATGTTCCTGGTATTTTTGAAAAATCACTAGATTTTAACCCTCAGTAGACATATTACAAGTGGTCTAACAATGAACAATTTTTTTCCTCCTCTGCTTTATTTTTTTTAAAGAGTATGTTTAGTTCCAATCGTCAGAAAATTGTGGAAAGAACGGAAATCTTAAACCAAGAATGGAAGCAACGAAGGATACAGCCTGTGCACATCCTGACTTCTGTGAGCTCATTGCGCGGGACCAGGGAGGTTGGTTAACTCCCGCGCCGCAGTCCTTCTCGGCGCTTTCTGGTTTTTGCTGCTGGGACGCTGGTTGTTTGTTGAGAGAAAGTAGTGGCTGACTTCTGGATGTCCATCTTTTTATTGCCATTTCTTTTTCTTATGTAAATGTTAATGGCTGCCTTAGGTAACACAGAGCTCTAGTGTTTGATGTACGTTTCACTGTTACTAGGCAGATTCTGAGATTTTTAAAGACTATTGTTGAAAAAAATCTTTTAAATTAAATACTCTTCAATGTCCTCATCAGATCACTATTTAGAACAAGGCTTTCTGACTCAGTTGTCTTTTTTCTCCCATTAATATGAATTAGTCATGCTCTAAGAAGTACCTCCTTTTTGTTCATCTTCTTAGACAAAGTTTTCCATAATTTGTTTAAATTCTAAGGCTCTTTTAATAAGAATTTTTTTTTAAAAAAGGTCTCACCAGGGGATATGTTTATTGACCTTAGACAGAGAGGAAGAGAGAGAAAGAGAAACGTTGATATGAGAGAGAAACACCTATCAGTTACCTCCTCTACGCGCCCTGACTGGGATTAAGCTGACAGCCTCTTGGTGTACGGGACATGGGATGTTCTAGCCAGCTGAGCCACTCGACCAGGTCTTTTACAGGAATTTTAAATTGAGCGTTGAGAACTTACTTGGAATTTCCTTTTCTGTAGCAATTTCTGAATGAATGAGATATTAATTCCTCCAAAAAATCTTATTCTTAAAGGAAGGTGATAAATCTGTGGTAGATTGTATGATTCAATAACACAGGAAAACAAGTGGCAACAAGATGAAAGATAGTGTGGGCGCTTAAACAGTGTAGAACCATGTTAAAGCATTTCTCTTTGAGTACCTGTTTTATATAGAAAGATGGCATAGGGTATGTTACCCTATCTGACTGGGCTCAAGCAGAAAGAGGGGAAAAGTGATTTGGAATTTAGATTATCCTGTGTAGTAGAGTATTGACTGGAGCCTCTATCTAAACTAGCAGTTTTCAGCCATGTGCCACAAGAAGTTTTAAAAACATGCAGTGTCCTCCCTGACTAGTGAGTGGCTCAGCGGGTTGAGCGCTGGCCTGCGAACCGAAAGGTCACTGGTCCGATTCCCAGTCAGGGAACATGTCTGGGTTGTGGGCCAGGTCCCCAGTTGAGGGCATACGAGAGGTAGCTGATTGATGTTTCTCCCTCCCTTCTTTTCTCTGTAAAAAATAAATAAAATCTTTCAAAAAAAAAAAAATGCAGTACCTGATTATTTAGTCAGGGGCACTGACCTTTTCTCTCTTAGATTGTTAAATAAAAAAAATGACAGCCAATACAACAATAGGCGCCAGTATAGATGAATCAAAATTATACCTATTTTTTGGTCTAATCAGCAAAAGATATATTTTTTGGTGTTGCAAAATTTTAATAATTAGTTTATGTGTGCCATGAGATGAAAAAGTTGAAAATGGCTGACCTAAGCTATGGAATTTGTTCTAAAATACATTTCAATGAGTAGCCATTTTTAATACAATGTGGTGATAACCGAGCACTACTTTGCTGTAGTCTGAGACCTGTGGCTCGGGCACACTGGCTTCAAAGGCGCGCCAGCACCGTCCCAGTAGCCCAGTGAGCTACAGACATGGGCCTGGTGATGGCTTCGTGACAGCGGGCGGTTCCAGTGGCAGTGCCTGGCTTGGGATGTTCTTAGCCATTTATGCCTTTTGTCAGGTGACTATTCTTTAAAGCTCTGACTTGTACTTATATGAACATGTATGATGTGCAACAAACATGTCTGCACCATCTGGGACAGGTCAGGGCTTACATATTGGAGGTAATAACTTTATTGATGTACTAAGGGTGAAAGGGATTTTTTTCTATGCCAGTTAGAACAATCTTGAAAGGGTTAAGCAAGGGGCTTCTAAGTAATTCTTTTGAAAGTTTTGTCTGGTGACCTTCTGGAAATTTGAGGTGAGGAACAAAAAACCCCCCCCAAAAACCCTCATTTTATTTCCCTCCCTGGAGGAATAAATCTTAGAAATTTGGAGAAATAAAGTAGAAACACATGGAACACTTATTTTTGGCACCCATTAGAAATCCCAAAATGCTATCAAAAGCCCAACTTACTTTAATAATAAAAGTTAACAGCAGTAATGATTTCTGGCACTGTGCAAGGTACTCTGTACACATTATTTTATTTAATCTTCATGATGGCTGTATTATACCTCCCCCCCGACTTTCCCAGATGAGGAAACTGAGCCTTAGAAGAGTTAAGTCAGTTTTGCTTGCTGTAATGATCTGATGAGGGCCCAGAAGAGTACACTTTGCTCAGACATATTAAAAAATTAGTAAATTCATTATTTATGTACAGCTGCAGTTGCTCATAATATAATTTTTGGCATTAAATTTAAGAGTACAATATAATCAAGTGTGTATTTACCAATTGAAAATTTCTTATGATTTTTGTCAAATGGAGATAAACATTGCATGTCAAGCTATCTAACTTTACTGTGAGTTTATGTGAGAAATTGTGAAAAGAAATTAGCATTTTAATAAAACTGTTTTCTAAACTTGGTACCCCACGCAGGTTGAGAAACACCATTTTCAAAAAATAGGAGGGGAAAGGAGGGAAGTAGTCCCAGCCTCAGGTATTCAGTTTCTGTTGGTGGAACTCTGGCCTGGTCAGGCACGTGGTTTTGAGCTGCTCTTGATAACCAGTCTGCTTCAGATGATGGTTCTTCGATTCCCTCTGTCCTCACCTCCTTTCAGACCGCCATCCCTGACTTTTGGAAATTGGAGATTTATACAGTTTGTGATAAGCCTTTTGGTGTTATCACAATAAATAATAAAATATTAGGGCTGAAAAGGAATTTAATGATCTCTGTTTAATTGCCTTTTCAGATAAGAATATAGCTATTATTTTTTTTCTTCAGTTTGAGCCTTTTCAGCTATATATTGATTTCTTTTATATGCTATAAAAGTGGGAGTCTGGAGCAGGTTAGAAGCATGAGGATAAATAAAAGCCTGTTTTGCAGACTTTTCTAGTAGCAGGCTTGGCAGGGCTTTGGGCTGCAGTGCTGACCCAAACACCTCGTCTGTGGCTTTGAACACTCGGAAATGCTATCCTAACGGTGCTCATTTTTATAAGCTGCTGATTCTTTGTAAGCCCCGTCTTCGGTTTTAATACCTTGCAGCATGGCGATGATTCAATGACAATTTTCAGTTTTTTACACGTCTTTTACTTTCTTCTCTTCTGTACTTGTAGATACACTCAGTTTTAAAGTGACTGATTTTATCCAGGTTATTTCAGTAAAGAATGTCTGACAAGTTTACTCTCTGGTCTAATGAAGTGACTGCTGTAGGTGCCGTCTTCAGCTTAAGGAGCTCTGCAGCTGAACCTAGAGGCCACATCTGCAGTATATTGTTTTCAAGACACTTTCTGATATCTGTTTTTGGTGAGGTTACGGAACCTTAGGCAATGTTACGTGTAGAATGTGTCTTATTTTTGTGCTTCTTTTAAAAAATACTTCTGACTTCTTGAAGACAGTGACTATAATCTATGTTTTAAATTTATTTTTTGTTCTTTGGTTGATCTTTTTAAGGGGCTTAAACATGTCCCTAAGTGATACATACAAGCCAATGGATGTATGCCTTATTGCCATGATACGTGGCTGTTCATCACAACATTTTCAGGTGACCTTCATTCCTTTTCTTCTGTAGGTCTGCACCGTTGGTAGTCATACTCTTCAGTCAGTGTGTCTGTTTTTCCAGTTTTAATGAAGAAACTGGTTTAAGAATTACCCTAGTAGTTCTTACTAGTGCATTTCTTTTTGAACATTTATCCATTTCTTGCTTAAAAACTACAAAGCCCTTTATCCTTCATTGATTCTTCATATCAAGCTTTATTACCTATACCTAGTGTGACTGAAAGAGGCTTGCTCAAATGATGTCTGACTTCTGGGTAGATGGTGTGATTGGTTTTGTAATTTAAAAATTCCCTGCTAATACGCATTTTTAGATTCCCGGGAGAATATAATGTTCTTGCAAGAATTCTGTGTCTTGTTTACTGGAAGAGTGAGAATTTTTCATGTGTGTGGAAAAATTCAGCTGGGCTTCTTGAGAATGCTTGACACACAAGCCGCATCAGGAAGGCCTCCTAGTCCTCCGTTCAGGAAGAATTAAATGTCTTGTGGACTTTGCAGTACATGGGTTTGCTCTTCCTAGTGATGTCTGAAATGATTTTAAGTTCATCACCTATCATTTGACATTCGTATATATTTTTTTGGAGAGAATGCTATCAAAATAACATAGAATGTGTAAGTTCTTTAATGTGTTTGCAGTTTGGACTGACTTGTTGAAGAAGAGAAAAACATTGTTTTGTTTACATGTAAACACTTATTGTTGATTGAATTGGTACCGCACTTTCCTAAGTTAACTTAAATGAATTTAGTTACTGGTTTCAAAGAAAAAAAAATGTTAGTTTACCCAATGTATAATTTTACTGTTCTTTTACTGAAATACACTTGCAACACACTTAACATGCTTTCTTTCCTTTGTAAATTGCAGGATGACAGTACCAATAGGTCTAGAGTCTCCTGAGTCCTTTGAGCAGATTATTGGGAGGGAGTGAGGTCGCTTTTGTCCTGTCTTAAAAATAAAGGGATGCCTCTCCCAGGTGTCTGCTTTGACTTTCAGTCTGAACATATCCATCCTTTCTTGGTTCCTGAAGGAACTGATTTTTAAGTTGCTTTCTGCTCCTGTTGGCCTCTCTTAACCATATGCTGTATTTACTTGGAGAATTTAGTCTTCCATTAACTCTGCCGGTCCTTCCACCCATGTAGCTTTTCAAATCACTGCAGCCTTCGTTTCCTTTCTGGCTTTCTCTTGGCTGAAATAGATGGAGCATTTCTTAAATGACCGTAAAGGAAGTGTTTCTTCTCTTTTGAAAGGAAACTAATCCAATAAAAGCATTTAATGGATTTCCAAAGGGTTGTTTAACAAAGAACAA